AAGCTGAACCCCCCCCCCCCCCCGCCCCCTCCCCTTGAAAGGCATCAAGAAGAAGGCGACAGAGGGACTCGGAGACCTCTCCGGCACGGAGATCAGCATGGGTACACCGGAAGAGGCGGCGCTGGCCAGGATGCTGCTCAGGCTGCCCGAGGTCTTGGAAGACTTGGAGGTTGATCTCTTCCCCCACAGGTGGGTGGTTGCGCCGTCGACTGACTGCCAGCAGGCGACCTAGATAGCACAACCAAGGGTAAGAGTTTGATGTTGTTTTTTGTTGCTGCTGGAGTGTTCTGCCAAAAGTGCTCCCTTCGTACGGTGACATTGCGGGGTCAACAAACAGGAGTGTGTGATCGTTTGTTTCCTTTTTTGTGAAGATCGATTGCACCACGACCATAAGAAGGGTACGACACCGGAGAGTAATCAATCCTCAGAGAGGTGTTGTGTTTGTTCCCAAGTGTACAAAAGCCGGTGCAGTAATTATCTGCAGTCCGATACGACTTCTCTAACCTACCCGACCTCCCGACAACAAGCGAGACTCTGCTGTGTCGCCCCCCCCCACATGCGTCTACTGCTTGTCCTTTTATCTACACTACAGGCTGTGCGACTACATGTTCGAGCTGAGCTCGCAGTTCAACCGCTTCTACGAAAACTGCCCGGTCAACACAGCGGAGACGGAGGAGCTCAAGCGGTCCCGCACCGCCCTCTGCTCAGGCACCGCGGACGTGATAGAGCTGGGGCTAGGCTTGCTCGGGATCGGCACCCTCGACCGCTTGTGACGGGGGGGGAGGTACTCATAGCTGTGCACCTATGCCGTAGGCGATAGACCATGACGGGGGGGGGGCGTCCTTGGGTGGGTCTTGATTGAGCTTTTGGTTGGTTGCGTAGAATCACCGCGACAACGGGCAAATCGTGTAAGGCAAACAATAGGAAGGCGTTAGACGTTATTGCGTGGTACAACAGTACCGATAGCGCTGCGCTCGGCACGCAGGCATCTCTGACTGGAGCACGACGATTGATTGTTTTGTGGATGGGATGCTGTGCTTTCAGCCAGGCTTGTGGCAAAAGCTTACGTTTCCTCCGATGAGGTCATGGTACCGTATACGACACAGGGTAACACACCCTGGACCGATTTTCAATGCTCGCGTTGTCAACAGCAGAAAGAATCGCAGCGTCGAAAACGGCGGCGTTGAAGCCGTCTCGTCGAGAGTTTTCCGAAAACGCATCGTTTCGTTTTCGTATCCTTTTCGTCGTGGAGCAATCGAGGTTTGAAAATCGGTCCAGGGGGTGTGTTACCTCGTGTCGTGTACGGTATGCGCCCAGTTGTTGTCTTCACATTAAAAACCATCCCGGTCTCTCTATCCATTACCTCCTTCTGTCTCAATCTCTCCGTACAAATCCAGCACTTGACTCGGTCAATTTCCGTGGTCACAGGCTAACGTACCTAGAAAAGGTATACCAAAATAAAATGGACCCCAAGGGTTAGCAGAGCGATAAAATACAAGAAAACAAAAGAATCAGAAACAAATAAATAAATAAATAGTGGAACGTGCGCACCACCAGGCTGGGGGGTAGGCTTCCGGAAGGACCCCAAGGGTCAACAGTACGTGCAAGTAAAAAAACAGAACAAAAACGAAATAAACCAAAGACAGACGAGGACATAAAACAAACTCGCACAGAGACAGGGATATCCGTAGAGACAGTCTGAACGCGACAGCAAACGGGGGAGAGGGCAACAGAAAAACTAGTCGCTGAAATTCAACCGCAACATGTCACGTCACGCGGTCGGTCTCTTCTCGCTTGCTTTCTTCCCGCGCCGTTTCCTCCCGCCCCCCTCCCGCCCCGTTGATTGGTGCCGTATCTAGACTATTTTTAGGCCCGCTGTCTCCTCGTTTGATGGCTCGTTGTCGGCTGGCCTTCTCCTCGCCCTTGTGCCAAGAGGCCATAAACCTCTCAGCTCCCTGCAGTACCCCCGCGTGCCACGGTACCCCCCCCTCCACTTTCGCCGCCTCGTCCCAGTCTGGCTTCGGGATTCCGAAGTGCTAGCCGTTTATTTCTGGCGAGCTTTCGGGTATTATGGTGTTTCGCACACAAAAAGACAGGTGCTTAGGAGCTATCGTTTTTACCATAAACGAGAGAGAGAGAGAGAGAGAGAGTGCGTTGTGCCAAAGAATGGGTGCAAGCGGCACTTTCACCGTTCTACCTCTCTCGGTGGACTCCTCGGATGATGGTAATGACTGTCGTTTCGACGCTATTCGCCATGGCTTCTTCTGCGCGCTACTACTACTGCTGCTGCTGTTTGCATGTTTCATCCACCAAGCGTTGGCTCAAACGTTCGTAAGCTCTGCCGAAGAGAAAGACATTGGTTGAACATCACGCGAAAGGACTTGAGAGTAGATGGATACCCTACAACTAAAACCGCCGAAGACAATAATACCATAATACCATGTAGCTGTGCTCATTCTTGGAGGTAAGCAACGAGACCACGATACCAACGAGGATACTAATCCCCCATCCATGCCGCAGTCCGCATCACTGTAATGCTCAATGCATTCGAACTAGTATTGGAACTAGGTTCTCGTCTTTGATGGCCATAGAATCAACCTACCCGTTCGTGTGTTCGTGAGACGTTGTGAAGTACTCCTTCTGCGAAGAGTTTTTTTTTTTTGCTCTCCCAAGGCTGATTGACGGAATCTTATGCATACAACAAGTTACAATGCGATTGGAGAGCCAGAGCCTTGAATTGAATCCTAAAAATGACGAAAGAGGTGTGTATGTATGTACATGAGTATTTTCTGAAAGGGCGCGCGGGGCAGCGTGTCAGGGACTTGGCCCTCGTGGCTAATGTACATAGGTTCGATGATTGTCGACGACGAAAACCTCCAAAAAAAAAAGAGCCCCCATAAAAAAGCCAAAAAAATATAGAAAAAAAAAATCAGGTTCGACGCGAGTTGGCAGGGTTTGCGACATCAGTTGGTTCCGAGGACACTAGGGGACTTTGCCATCAGGATGTCATCTTCTCCCTCTCCGCCGCCATCCGCATCGAGGATGCGGCTCCGCGTGGATATCGGGAAGGATCCTGTCTCGTCCAGGCGCCTTCTGGTGCCTGTCGACGGCTCGAGCACGGTCGCGGAGCTAACGAGGTGCGTGCCCATTGATCGAAAATAATCGCCCGCTCTTTCTCGCTCAGCAGGGAACGTGTGATCTGGTTCGCACGCACCGCCGACACAAGCGAGAGATCCACACGCGCACGCGCACGATTTTTCCGGCAGCAGCAGTAGAGGTGTGGAACTGTCCCAAGAGCCTTGGTGGCTGGCTCTCTCTAGGGTGCGCCTCTTGGCGTGTGGTGGGCGCAGCAGGGGGGCCCAAAATCTCGCGTGTTGGTTTGATGGCGAAAAAAAAGATGTCGCGATTTTTTCCGGGGTTCTCCTTATGTCGTCTGTCTGCCCGTCCGGCTTTCGCGCTAGCCGCCCAGAGCACTTTGCCCTCTCTGGCGTGTGCGGCAACGAGCTGCGTGAGCAGATGTAGTACAGCGTTGCCGTGAGGCTCAAAAGAGTCTCGGGATCTTGTAGCCTTAGCACGCGTGCCGCAGTTCAAGCGCCGCCGGTGGATGGTGTTCGTCGCGAACCACAAATAAATGCGCACGCCAACCAAGAAGTTTGGTTCTCTTTTCGAGAGAACTCTCGCCGACTTTGTTACAAGCAGCAGAAGCAGCGTGGCAGCAAGCAGCTGTGTTTTTTTTTAGGTTGGCAACGCTTTCATCCTCAACAGCAGCAGTCCTCGGCCTACCCGGCGTCGAAGGGAAACGGCATAGCCGTCCACGCATGAATCGTTAGGTTGCATCTCATCCCCCTCCCGGCCCCTTCTACTGAAACCGATCTCTACCTTGGGTAAGAATATCCGGTTTTACCTTGAACCAGAGATGGAAGGCAAGGAGCGTTCTTTCTCCTCTTTCGACAACAGACAAAAGCAATCCGGTTTTGTTTCCCTCTTGCCATGGAATATGCACAGCAACTTTAGTACACGCTTGCACGTTTTCGTCCGCATGAAACCCGCGGGTCTGTCGCTTGAACCTCACTGGCCACACGAGTCGATGTGTAGGGCGTGGTTGGGGGGGGGAGCGCATCGTATGTGTATGTAGATCCATCGACTTGTCTGTACCAATGCAAGTGTTCCCTCGTGGGTGGGCTCATGAGAGAGCAGTGGTGGTGCAGGATGAACGTTGCAGCAGGCAGCAGGACGAGCCCAGAGAATACTATCCAACGAACAACAAATAAAAAAATCAAATCTGTACTCTTGCACGTTATAAGGAGGTTGCTATTTGACCGCATGGACGTACGATACCAGCAGCAGCAGCAGCAGCAGCAGCGTTTTGATCTGCTTTGTCCACACGTTTCTGGTCGCGTGGTATATTGTTGTTGTTCTTGTTGTTGTTGTTGTTGTTGTTGTTGTCTTCACATTAAAAACCGTTCCGATCTCTCTCTACCCAGTACCTTAGTATGTCCGTACTGACCCAACACTCGACGCGGTCGATTCCAGTGGTCGCAGGCTAACTTACCCTCTTAAGGTACACTCAAATAAACTGGTCCCGAGGGGCCCGCAAGTCAATAGCAATCAACGACAGATATTCTTCTACACCTATCGCCCCGGTGGTCCGGTGGTATCCTCGTAAGCCGCTAGTGGCAGAGGTCGTGAGTTCGAATCCCCACTGGGTGAAGAATTTACGAAATGTGCGGGTGAAAGCTAATTATAGCTGACAAGCTCTCGTGAGTACTAAACTTCGACGTTAGCACCGTTGACGAGGGAAAGGGACGGCTGGACCCTTCTCGCGATAAAAATAAAATTCAGCACGCACCGACTGAGGAAGGTAGGGCATGAAAAGAAATAAAGAGAAGAAAAAAGCTCTGGTGTTTACACCCTCCTGTGTGACCCTGGATGGTTGTAGTTATACGAAAAATACATTGAAAAGTGTAGTACCCTACATGCGCTGAAAAGTGTAGTACACGTCTCAACACGAAAAATGGGGGGACTGTTGCCATATCAAGTAGGACGATAACACACACACACACACACACACATTCTGGAGTCCTCCACTCCCTCTGCGAGCTATGCGAGGTATAACAACTGAGACTAGGAGTCACCATCACGGGCCGGAGAGAAAGAGGTACACGCTCTTGGTTCAATCTTGGTTCTTCACAACGCAAGCAGAGACAAGGCCATCTGGCACAGAAAAAGAGGGGGGAAAAAAAGGAGAAAAAGAGAAGAAAATACAAGGAAACAGTAAGGAAAGAGAAAATGAAATGAAAAAGAGAGAAGACAAAAGGGACCAGGCCGAAAATAACAAGAAATAAGAGACAGAAAAAAGGCACACGGTCGAAACCACTAACGAACAACCAAAAACGCAAACATGGCCACCAACCAGCGATACATTGTCGTGATATGTCATCACTAGTGAGGGGTTGGTGCAATGGTGAAGGGTTGGGGAGGGGGGGAATTGACTAGAAGAAATTCAATCCGGCACGTATCGCGCCACTCGGTCCCTTTTCGTTTGCTTTCTTCCCTCGCCGTCTCGTCCGTCTCCTGCCCCCCTCCTGCCCCATTGGTTGTTGGCTTGTGGTTTCGTTTGAGCGCCCGTTGTCGCCTGGCCTCTTCTTCCTTCTCGTGCCAGGAGGTAATGAACCTCTCAGCTCCCTGCAGCACCGCCTCGTGCCAGGGTACTCCCCCCTCCACCTTCGCGGCTTCCGTCCACTTTAACTTCGGTGCCGTGTCTTTCGGTACCGGGATTCCGAGACAATATGGATAGGTTTTCGTAGATTCGTGGTCGGCCCCGAATGCCTTCAGGTCGTCGAGCACACACTTCGGCCAGTTCCGTTCCTGTCCCCCCCTACGTCGCTTCTCCCCCCCATATACAGCAGTATTTATAGTCAGGCACGCTACAACACACCACGAGGGCTTAGCGTTCTGCACCCTCCGTCCGTCCCGAGCGTTTTCTCTGCCGCATTGCTGTAAATCGGCGTTGCTGGGATGCCACGCCGATGGTTTACTCCCACGAGCAAATGATCAAGAAGACTGTTGCGGGCAGGCAAAGAAGAAACAGTACTATTTTGTTTCGGTCCCCTCTGTTATACTCTGTTGGAAATAAGCTCGGCGCGTCGTTCCGCGCGAATGTAGGAATCATTGTGTCTCTTGCAGCTAATGCTGAAGTATTTTCTTCGGGCAGCAGTTGTAGACATCTTTCTCGCTCCTTGTTCCCTGTGCTTGGTTGTTCGTGCAGCGGGCAGTGCAGGCAGTAGAGTACAACATTCGTCCTCTTGTTGATATGTTTCCGGCTCTCTCTCTCTCTCTCTCTCTCTCTGTCCACCTCTCTTTCTCTCCCCTGGCACTCAGCCCCTTGAGGCCGGCTGTTTGATGCGCTGTTACCTTGCCTGTGAGTGTGGTCCAGTGACCGTGTCCCATCTCTCAGCAGGGACCAAACAGCCCTCCAAAGGTTGCAGCAGCAAACGCCCATTCCCTTCGACTGCTGTGTCATTCTGCTGCATCTTTTGACGGGTAGTCTTGGTGTTCGTCCCTTTCAACCAAACTTATCACCACAGCAGTAGACTTTGGGTGGTTGTTTCCCCGACTGGCATGTCATGCTACAACCACTGTGCTTTGTGTGTGTCTGAAAAGAACCGAACAGCTCAGTGTGTGGGCTTCTTCATGGGCAAGCCTGGCTGCTGTGAGCCCAAACACTCCCAACGGCGTAAGGCAAAACACTCCATGTCGCCCGCGGTGCTGTCTTGTTATGCGCACTAGCGGGTACAGCACCCTCGCATCTACTATATCGTTCAACAGGCGGACGCGCACGCATGGAACTGCTGCTCTCTCATGTTTCGCATCTGCAGCCAAATTCACTCGTTTCTTCTCGCTGTCTTGGCTGCAATCGCTGCTGCTGCTGCTGCTGCTGCTGCTGCTGTGTTTCGGTTGCTACTTGGCTGCAATCGCTGATGCGATTTTTCACTGCTGCTGCTGCTGCTGCTGCGGCTGCCAGCATGTTTTTTGGTTGCCACTCGGACACCCTAGCCCTTGGAAGGGTGCTGAGCAGAGGCTACAATTTCCATCGTGTAGACAACACAAAAGCAACAAGTCGCTGGCCAATGCCAATGCCGTTGGTGCTATCCATGCCCCCCCTCCCCCCCCCCATGAAGTTTGGGGGGAAGGGGATGATCCAGCTGATGGTACTGCTATACAATTGGGTGTGGAAAAACGAGTATACGCCAAGTAGATGGAGGGAAGGAGTGGTTGTAAACTTGTTTTGAAAAGGAGACAAGACTGACCCAGGAAACTACAGGGGGATCACACTGTTGAACACAGTAGGAAAAGTGTTCTGTAAGCTGCTGAACGATAGGATAGTGGGAGTATTGGAGAAGGAACATAGCATTAGTGAGGGCCAGGCAGGTTTC